TGCGTCCACACTCCCGGGTTAGGGTTAGAGACACAGTAACGCTCCTCTACACTGTGTGTCCACACTCCAGGTTAGGGTTAGAGACACAGTAAAGCTCCTCTACACTGTGCGTCCACACTCCCGGGTCAGGGTTAGAGACACAGTAAAGCTCCTCTACACTGTGTGTCCACACTCCCGGATTAGGGTTAGAGACACAGTAACGCTCCCTCTACACTGTGCGTCCACACTCCCGGGTTAGGGTTAGAGACACAGTAAAGCTCCTCTACACTGTGTGTCCACACTCCCGGGTTAGGGTTACAGACACAGTAAAGCTCCTCTACACTGTGCGTCCACACTCCCAGGTTAGGGTTAGAGACACAGTAAAGCTCCTCTACACTGTGCGTCCACACTCCCGGGTTAGGGTTAGAGACACAGTAAAGCTCCTCTACACTGTGCGTCCACACTCCCAGGACAGGGATAGCGCGGGTTACAGACAGGTTGAAACTCTCTTTACAGTGGGGATTCAGGGGCTAATGTTATCTGGGAGATTATCGGCTTGGAAACTGGGAGAGAGAGACTCTCTTGTCTTTTCCTAGTGCTGTGCGAACTTCCACCTGAGCACTCGGGAGCTCAGCTTAATGTTCCGTTCTAAGGACGGTGCCTCCGACAATGTGGTGCTCCCCCCCTCTCGTCCGCGCCCCCCCCCCCCCACCTTGCACTGCATTAGCCTTGAATGTGAGCTCATAGTCCTCTGACATCGGGGCTCGAACCCAAAACTCCCTGACTCAGTGTGTGTGATAAACAGGGCTGTTGTCAGTCTGTGTCTCTTGGCAGAGTCACAGCTGAAGTTTATTTGAACAAACAATTCCCGAAACTCTGACGCTGACTTTGATCCCCTTGTGGTTTGGTCCGGGTGGTTGGGTGGGGAGCGGAGCAGGGATGGGGGGTGGGGGGGGTGAGTAAGAGAGGGTCTTTCTCTCTCTCTCTCTCGCTCGCTCGCCTTGGCGTGACTCCAGGCTCAGTTCCGTTCCCCGCCTCCAGCGGAAAACCACCTCAAGCTGCTTCTAAACTGGTGCAGACCAGAACAGATTTGGACGTCATCCAGAATTTGTCTTTGTGTGTGTGTGTGTGTGTGTGGCCGTGTTTACGTCGCCGTATGTGTTTTTTTGTATATGCCTCCGTGTCTGTGTATATGTGTGTGTGTGTGTGTGTGGGTCAAGTACCAGCAGGGGAGAGGAAGCAATAGGAGGGAGGTTCCCCCCCCCCCCCCCCCACCCGCCGCCGAAAACACGTGCAGCCACACGGGCACCCGCACGCACACGTGTGTGTGTGTAGCCATGTGCGGTTTTGTGCATCTGTATGTGTGTGTTTTTGTATCGTGTCTGTGTGACGTGTGTGTGTGTGTGTGTGTGTGTGTGTGCGCGCGTCTGTGTTTGTGTGATTCTGTGTGTGTTGGTGTACATTTTTCGCTGTTTGTGTCGCGCGCGAGTGAGTGAGTGAGTGCGTGAGTATGTGTAAGTGTCTCCCAGACTGTGTCACTCAGAGCACTTCCCTCTATCAGCATAGCCCACACTCCATCCATCGTCACACTCCCTCCATCCTCGCACTCCCTCCATCCTCACGCTCCCTCCATCCTCACGCTCCCTCCATCCTCACGCTCCCTCCATCCTCACGCTCCCTCCATCCTCACGCTCCCGCCCTCCTCGCGCTCCCTCCATCCTCACGCTCCCTCCATCCTCATGCTCCCGCCCTCCTCGCGCTCCCTCCATCCTCACGCTCCCTCCATCCTCATGCTCCCTCCCTCCTCGCGCTCCCTCCCTCCTCGCGCTCCCTTCATCCTCGCGCTCCCTCCATCCTCACGCTCCCTCCATCCTCACACCCCCTGGGAGAGAGGGGAACTAAAAGTTCACTCGAAGACATGAGAATCCTGGAATAAAAGACTGAAGAGCAACTTTGAAAGAGAATGACATCAGCCGAGGCCGGGGCGGGTGTGGGGGGGACCTCCGAGTGCCCGTAAACCTCAGCCCCTCACCGCTGAGAGACTCCGGCACCCAAACTGAGTTCACGCTCACACACACACACAAACACACACACACTCACTCACACTCACAGAGTCACTCTCACACACACTCGCTCACACACACTCGCCCTCACTCGCTCACACGCGCACACATGCACTCGCGCACACACGCACCCTCCCCCTCACTCGCTCACACACACACAGAATCGCTCGCGCGCACACACACACACACACACACATGTATGCAGACTCACTCACAGTGACACGCACAGACTTACACACACACACACACAGACTCACTCAGGCAGACGCTGACATTCGGGCTGGATCCCCGCCAGGATCAGTGAGATCTGGATGGCACCAGTTTGAAGCAGACGGAGGTGGCTTGTGTCACCGCCCGAGGCCTGGGTGTGGAGCGGAAACGAGTGCTCAGTTCTGCTGCAGCCTCAATGTTTATTTAACAAAAGCTTTCTCCCACCTTCACACACCCACAGGCAGCGAGCGTGGGAGCGAGCGCGCGTGAGAGCGAGCGAGCGCGCGAGCGCCGTGACAGCAGCCGGGTTCGGGCTCGGTGCTTCTGTCTTTATCCGTAAAGACGGAGATTTAGGGCAATGTTTGTTTTTCCGCGTGGCGGTTAGCACACGCGTCTCACCGTCCCGGGTTGGATTCCCGGGCAGGGCGAAACCTCAGGCAACTTTCCTTAATCCACAAACCCCCGTTTAACGAGAAGTAAGTAGGAACCCGGTTATTAGACAGTCCGCGAATCGCTTTCCTGGGGTAATAATCCCTCCACAAAAAAAAATGTGGCCACTCAATCCAGGACTGTTTGTGGGACGCTGCTGTGCGCCATTTCTGCCACAAAACAACAAGAAGAAATTACATTTGCATAGCGCCTTTCATGTCGGGAGGACGTCCCAAGACGCTGTTAATTCACTTCACAATATATTCTATGAAGAATAGACGTCAGGACGTCCCAACGACGTGATAGGGCACTGTATCAAATGGAAGGATTATTATTGTGGAGATTCACTTCAACCATGACTTTGCTATTAATGTACACCACCGACTACATGTCCCCCAAACCCCCACCCTCCCCGTCTCTCCCTGCGGGGTGTCCAGCACTGACTCTGTGAAGTGTTCCGAGGCTTTGCTCTATGTGTGTGTGAAAAGTGCTGGTTACGTGCAACGTGAGAGGCATTATATAAATGCAATTTGGGGTTGTTGTTGTTGTACTTGGTGTGTGATGTAACTGCGGTGTAATTGCTTTCGAAGGAGTTTCTGTGTGAGAGGACATTCCAGTGATTCAGGAATGTAGGAATGAACCAACGCCTTTATATGGTGGTTTCCCCCACCCTCACATGTAGCTCCTGGTACCTCGTACTTTGCATGGCGGCGCTACGAAAACAATTTAATCGTCCAGCGCCTTGGGACGCTCCATGGGGAAAGAATGTAAATATTACTGTACTTGTTGTTTAAAAGAGCTTCTGCAGCGTTTTATCATGGAGCGCTTCGCAGAAACCACTGACAAGCGTACAAACCGGTCAAGCTGGGAGCCGCCAATTTAATCTGCCGGCTGATTGACCAGGACACCCCGCGTGGATATCTCCTCTTCCAGCTGCCGGGCGGGATCTTTAAAGTCTGCCCGAACAGGGCACATTGAGCTTACGTCTCACCTGAAGGACGGCAATGCAGTGTTGTGTGTGTGTGTCCGTTCCCCCCCCCCCCCCCACCCCCCGGTACCGGGCAGGGATGTCAGCCCAGACTGCGAGCTCGGTGGCGTTTGGTGGATGTAGGATGAGCGGGTTTGCTGGGATCAGAGTTCAAATCCAGATCAGACTGTTACGGTGAAAGTCCATACACATACCTGTACAGTAAATACTAGCGCATAGCGGCCTCAACCACAGTGCTCAATGTATATAATACATCAAATTGTGAATCTCAATCGATGTGGCGGGAGTTTTACTGTGTGTCTCTAACCCTGATCTGGGATTGTGGACGCACAGCGTAGAGAGAATTTGATTCTGTCTCTAACCCTGGTCTGGGAGTGTGGATGGACAGATAAATTGACGCTATATATATTTTGTGGGAGAAAAACAGCAGCCAATTGCGCACAGCAGTGTCCAACAGACAATGGTGGATTGAGCGATTTTTTTTTTGGAGCACGGATTATTACTCCCGGGAAAGCGATCCGCCCATCGACCAAGAGGGTCACATATTTCTGTGTGCGAGTGCGCGCGCGCGTGTTTTTAAGGGTTTTTATTGAAAGTAAAACCGTTTAATTCCTGTAATTGCAGGGCTGCAGGTTCAGCCCCGGCCGGGGTGGGACCTGCAACATAACGGACCTCGCATTCGAGACATAGCGCCTCATCGCGTCACTCGGGACGTCGCCGAGCGCTTCGCGGGACATCAAGCGGTGAAGTGCGCAGCGACCGCTGCGTAATTGGCAGCTGCTGTCCTGACTGATAAACCCCACGGGGATGGCGTGTGTGTGGTGGTGGTGAGGGGGGGGTGGGGTTGGGTGGGGGGGGGGTTGAAATTTGTTTTTTGCAGATAAAAGCAAACCTCTGGTGAGTGCATAACAAGTCACGGCACCACACCCCCACATCCTCCCTCCCCTGACCTTCCCCCCCCCCCACCCTTTTTTGGGGGGTGCAGCAGAGGAGGAAGCTGATGAAACCAAACTGCAACCGCTGTGCTCCGCGCCGCCTGATTGACAGGCGCGGCGGCCTCGCGGGTGGTGACAGGGGCTCCCGGCCGCGGTTGCCGGGGCGACGCCGGGTGATTGACGCGAGCCGGGCCCCGCCCTCCCCCCCGCCTCGGCCCGTCCCGATTGGCGGAGCGCACCGTCGCTCAGTCGGGCGCGCGGCTCCTGATTGGTGCGGAGCGAGAGGGAGAGGGCGGGGCGGCCGCGTCGCCGCCGCCGCCGCCGTCGTCATCGCCGTCGCCCAATGCGATGGGCGTCGTCTCCACGGCAACGAAACCGCTCCGGATAAAAGCGGAGCGCGGAGCCCCACAGCTGATCAGAAGCAGCGACTGTGGGACCGGGCGCGTCAGCGGGCGGCGGAGAGGCCTCTTCTCCCCGGGGGAGGAGGAGGGAGAGGGAGAGGAGGAGGACAAGAGAGAAGGAAGGACTCCCCAATGGAGGCCTACTCCCCGCCGTGCCCCGTCTGCCCCTCCTGGTTCGGGGACCGGGCGGAGAGCAAGCGCCGGAAGAAAGGGGCGGCCAACATCTTCCAGGACGTGGAGCTGAGTCAGATCCAGGCCCTGTTCCGGAAGAGCGGCGACGAGAAGGCCGAGGAGAGGGCCCGGATCGTCTGGGGGCGGCAGGAGGGCGACCAGAGCGTGGGCCCGGCCCTGATGGAGCTGAGGGCCAAGAAGAAAACCCGCTCCTTCTTCCACCACAACAAGAGCGCCGCCGCCGAGTTCTTAGGGCTGATGTGGATCAAAGCCTTTAGCAAAATGCGGTAACTATTTGCACTATATATTTTTTTACAACACCACTCTCCCTCTCTCTCTCTCTCTCTCCCCAACAACAACAACAACACCACCACCGCCGCCGCCGCCTCTCTCTCTCTCTCTCTCTCTCCCCTCTTCCATCGCCACCACTTCACACGCGCCCCCACACACGGAAAAAAAAAAGCAATTCTGCTGAAAAAAAGAAAGAAAGAGAGAGAGAGAGAAACGACAAGAGGGGGGAAAAAAAGGACAAGACGGCACAGAGAGAGAGCGAGAGAGAGACAGACAAAAAAAAGAAGAGAGAGAGAGAAAAAACCAGGAGACGAGACAAGACGCCGCGAGGAAAAAAAAAGAGAGAAAAAAAGAACTTTTAACAAGAACTATCTACCTCAAATACAACCCTCCCTCCAACCCCCCACCAGACGAAAATGCTGTTGTATGTCTCTGGATGACACTCTCCTGTTTCTCTCTCTCTCCCCCCCTCTCTCTCTCTCTCCCCCTCTCCCTCTCTCTCTCCCCCTCTCTCTCTCTCTCTCTCCCCCCTCTCTCTCTCTCTCCCCCCTCTCTCTCTCTCTCTCCCCCTCTCCCTCTCTCTCTCCCCCTCTCCCTCTCTCTCTCCCCTCTCTCTCTCTCCCCCCCTTCTCCTCCCCTGTTCTTGCACAGCCTCGGAGACTGTGGGAGTCAGGGTACCAGATCCTCCCTCTGGCAAAGGAGTCAAATGAAGAGGAAGAGACTGAAGGGGAAGAGAACAGTGAGGAGTCAAGTCTGAATTGGAGAGAGAAGAAAGAAAGAAAGAGAGAGAGAGTGTGTGATGGAGGGAGAGAATAAATGCACTCTGCAAACAAACCCAACAAACCTTCCTTTTTTTTTGCACTGAATTGCAATAATTGCAACCCCCCCCACACCCAATGGAAGACGAAACTACATACTTTGATCGCGTTCGTTCTGTCTGTATATTTGTGTCTTATTTTCTAAACCACAAAAAAAAATTGTAGTTTCGGATGAGAAGATCCTTTTGTCTTTTATTATGTGCTTTTATTGCTAATTTTTTTTTAAAAAAGAGAACGCTAAGAAAAAAAAATGTCTTTTGGTTTTTTTTTCGAATAATTTATGTTCGATTCGCAAAAGGGTTTTCCGTTTTAAATAAAATCTTCAAAAAAAACTCCAACCATTTCTGTCAGTGTTTTGTTTGGTAAATTCGCCCTTATGTGTTTCTTGGGTGGGAGGGGGGGAAGTGGTTGGGTGAAAAATATATATAAATGCTCAGCAAAGCCTTAAGGTTACTTGGATAACCTTATCAAACAAAAATGACATTTGTATAATGTCTTTCATGTCAGCAGAGCAGCCCGAGGTGCCACAGTTGTCGTTAGGATTTTAGCTGTTTTAACAATGCAACAATAAATAAGGTGCATTATTCTGTTCTACCAATATACCTCAGTTTACATTTACACACTGCCATTCATGGAGGGAGGATATCGCAAAACACTTAGCAATGTTGGATGGTACGTGAGCCAAGAGACGGGGAATGATAACCGAAAGCGGGGATAAAGAGATCTGTTTTGAGACTGGTGAGGCACAGCCTTGTGTTATTAAGACATCTCGAAGCACCTCACAAGATTTTTTTTTTACGGTGAAGTGTAGTAACTGTATCTGTGGGTGAAGGTGACAGCCAATTTCTCCACAGCAGCGTTCCCCCCCCCCTCCCCGCAAACAGCCAATTTCCAATTAAATTTAATGTAATTTCAAAATTCAGTGATTTAATCCGAGGCGGGGGGAGGAATGTCAGCCGGAACGCCGGGAGAGGACAGAGATTGTGTGATCACAAGCTGATCTGCCTGCCGTGCATCTCGTGCCGTTTATGTGTCTAAGGTGGAGCATGCCCTATGTTTAGTCACTCATGGCTAAAGCAGGAGTCAGCAGTTAACACCTGCCAGGCATCCTGCATCAGGTCAGTTCCTCTTCCCGTGTGTCCTGGAAAGCTCACGGTGTCAGGTGAGGACAGGGTTGGGAGGGGCCGTTTCCCTGTTGGCACCCCACAACATGTGGGTGAGGTGGCACACTCGGCTGTGAGTCACCGCACATCCCACAAAACAAATGCAGACACTATAGTGAAACATACGAGCAGTGTCAAGCTGGAGGAAAATATGAAATGATTTGGAGGAAAATATAATTTTTTTAAAATATAAGATGGAAAATAGAGGTACATTTTATACTTAGAGGAGTCCTGTAGACTTATCGGTTAGAGCACTCGCCTCGCAAGCGAGAGGACCCGGGTTTGATTCCCAAGTGGTGTTTACCTAGCAGTAAAGAGGAACCCGATTGTTAGTCGATTGGCGGATCACTTTTCGGGGGTAATAATCCTTTCAAGAATAATAGTAATTTGGTCACTCAATCCACGACAGTTTGTGGGACACTGCTGTGCGTATTCGGCTGCCGCATTTCTGCCACAAAACATGCAGTTAATTCACTTTACAGTGTATTATATGAAGCTCTTTGAGACGTTTTAATGACATGATAAATAAATTATTATTATTTTAAAATACTGGAGCAAAATATATATTTTGGCTGGATGGGTCAAATGGTATCTGTGTTTAACAGATCTCAGATTGTTATGATGGGGGCAGAGGTAACGGTGGAGTAATTTGAAGACTCATTTGCTTGCAAGATATTTCGGTCCCTTAAACCGGAAGTTAATCTCATTAACTCCCTGTTGAAATCGGATTTGGATTACAATAACTCATTTGAGATTTGAGGCTTTAATCTGCGGGAGTTGTGAGGGTGTCAGGCCGCACGGGTTTGGAACACATGTCACGAGGAGACACTTGGGGACTGGCTTCTCTCTCTGTGCCCTCGCCTCAGGGTCAGAAGTTGGGGGTTCAAACACAACGTTAGGGCTTTGTGCTCGCGTTCCAGACCCATGTTCCATGGTGCACTTCACAGAATTTACTGTAAAGTGCATTGATTGTATATTTTGCGGGCGAAACGCAGCAGCCAATTGCGCACAGCTGCGTCCCACAAACAGTCGTGGATTGAGTGACCAAATTATTATTTTTTATAAAAAAAGGGAAGGGATTATTATCCCCGGAAAGCGATCTGCCAACAGGATTCCTACTCACTGCTAAACAGAGGATTGTGGAGTAAGGAAACTTGGCTAAGGTTTCGCCCTGCCCGGGAATTGAACCACATTATCAGGTTCCGTCTTTAGGATTAAACCCAGACTCGGTTGCTTATTAGATAAGAGTTTCAGAGCGCAGAACTAATCAATGGACAAACAGGTGACCTAACACATTAACTGAGGAATGTCACTTGAGAGCAAATAAAAAAGAGAGGTTAGAAATGTTGATGCCTTTAAAAGGGAATTGTATAAATATGTGAGAACAAAGTAATATTAAATGGGTACAGGAAAGAAAACAGGGAATATGATTAATAGAGAGCTCCAGGGAGTTGTTAGAGAGCACCAGCACAGACATGATGGGGAGAGAGCAGGGAATGGGGTTAGAGCAGAGAGCTCCAGTGGGGGAGCACAAAAAGAAGAACAAGCGAGTATTTTACAGCGTCTTATCAGATTGTAGCGTCTCTTTCAATAATTATTGTCCAGTTTTTGTGGGCATCACAGCACCCATATCCCCCAAAACACTGATGAAGGAGTACAACCGATTTGATCCAGGATGAGGAGGTTGTTGTCGGCCAGGACACCAGGACCGAGAATCTCCCTCCTCTTTTCCAACAGTGTCACGGAAGATCTTTAACGTCCTCCTGAACAGGGCATAGACATGGAGCTTGGTTCAACTTCTCATTCTAACTAAAGCCACCCCCCCACACCCCCACAACAACCAACCCCCACTCTCCCATAGTGTCCTGCATCTTCAGTCTGGACTGTGAGCACTGAGACCCCGGGATGTGGGGAGCTCAAATGCCGAGTCTTCAAATAATAATCCTTGCATTTGACACGGCGCATTATCACGTCTCTGAGACATCTAGAAGCGCTTGACAGGATATACTGTGAAGTGAATTGATTGTGTACTTTGTGGGCGAAACAACAGACCGATGCCTTCGAGAGAGAGAGAGAGAGAGGGCTGGAGGTGGTGGGTTTAAAAGTACAATTTTATTTTTTAAAAAGTGTCAATTTGGCACTGGGAACAGTGAGTAACGAACGACACACATCCCTTGCCTCATGTGCGTGTGTTCTTGTTCTGAGGTTCCAGGATTGCAGTGACTAGCAATGAGCACATTGTGGGAAGTCGTCTGTTTGTGTAGATGGCACGGATCTGGAATAAACTGGAGCGAGCGAGGAAGTGGAACCAGTGATTCAGAGATTCTGGTCAGGGCAATGACGGAAATGAGACTCACAGCTTGATAATGCCACTCTCCTCCAGGCTGGGCTGACAAAGGGTGTGTGTGTTTGTGTGGTGTGCGTGTGTGGGTTGGGGGTGTGGGCGGAAACAGACAGTAGGGGAATCCTGTAGTTTAGTGCTCAGAGCACTTGTTTCTTAAACGAGAGGACCTGGGTTTGACTCCCGGGCTTGTTGAAACCATACACAAGTTTCCTTACTCCACACGCCTCTGTTTACCTAGCAAGTAGGAACCCAGTTGTTAGTCGATTGGCGGGTCACTTTTCTGGGGTAATAATCCCTTAAATAATAATAATAATTTGGTCACTCAATCCAAATGGCTGTTTGTGGGACGCTGCTGTGCGCAATTGGCTGCCGAGTTTCACCCACAAAACACAAAGTTAAATCACCTTACATTATATTCTGTGAAGCGCTTTGAGATGTCTCAATGACATGATAAGGCTTTATATCAAATAGATGGATTATTATTATCATTAATCTGCTTATCCTAGCCAGTAAACCCTGACCTGCTTCCTCTTACCTGCCCTCGCTGCCCCATCATCAGCAGCTGGGGTTTCAGCCATTCTATCCCCACTGCGTATGGGACAGTATATGGGTGGGAGAGGGGTGGAGGCTGTCTCCCATTCCTGTGACCAGTATACAGGCAGAGATGTGAACAGAAGATGGTGTGTGTGGGTGGGTGGGGGTTTGGTGGGTAGGTACGTGAGTCAAAGAGAACAAACTTTGCCATTATCTATGGGGAAATCTATCTATCTATATATCTCTATGTGTGTGTGTATGTTTCGATATAAAATAATTCCTACCTTAATCAGAAAGTGAGTTGATGTGTGCTCAGAACATCGTCGTTAACAAAATACAAAGTCCGGGAGGGGGAAAATACAGTAAACAAACTGCTTGATACAAAACTGGTACAAAAAGAGAGAACAAAACAATAGAGAGCCTTTCTCTCCCCAAACTCCCCCCCCAAAAAAAATTCCTTCCACACCACACTGCGCAAGAGTGAGTTACTGGCTGGAATCCAATCTAAGGGTTCGGGTGAAGGGGTGCATATAAAATAGTAATAATAATCCTTGCATTTGTTATAGCCCTCTATCACGTTGTTGAGACATCTCAAAGCACTTCACAGAATATATTGTATTAGCAATGTCCCACAAACAGTCGTGGATTGAGTGTCAAAATTATTATTGTATGACAAGGCAAGTGCTCTAACCAGTACGCTGGTCAGAGATATATAGAATAATACACCCCGATTACAGTTCATATAGATTTCAAATCATCCACACACTACAATTTGATTTGTGTGATTTTTATTCCAGTGATTTTTATCCCGTGAATTTTTCCCATACTATATTCCAGGAACACCCTGGTGTTTTGTTTTCCGTTCAGCTTCGCTCTTTCCTCTCCTCCCACTCCCTCCATGAGCCCCTCCAATCGGGTTTCCGTGCTGCCCACAGCATGGAAAGTGCTCTGGTCAAGGTCACAAATAACATCCTGACCATGTGTGACCAGAGCTCCCTCTGCCTCCTCGTCCTCCTTAACCTCTCCACTGCTTTTGACACTGTGGATCATTCAATCCTCCTTCACCGCCTCTCCTCCCACTTTAACCTCCAAGGTTCTGTCCTTGACTGGTTCTGGTCCTACCATTTACACCGCCTCCACTTCGTCTCAGCTAACAGCTTCTCCTCCAGCCCCCACACCATCTTGTGCGGCGTTCCTCAGGGCTCTATCCTCGGTCCCCTCCTCTTCACCCTCTACATACTCCACCTTGGTGACATCATTCGTAGACATGGGGTAAATTTCCACATGTATGCGGATGACACCCAACTCTATCTCTCTGCCTCCACCCTCAACTCCAGGACCACTGCTGTCCTGACCGACTGCCTGTCCGAGGGATTACTTTCTCCAGCTGAACGTCAGCAAGACTGAGGCCCTCCTGATTGGCGCTCGCCAGCGCCTCCAACACCTCGGGCGCTGGCAGCATCAGCCTCCACGGCTGCACACTCAACCTCACTGAGCCAGTCAGGAACCTTGGTGTCTTGTTTGTCCCTGAACTGTCCTTTCTCCCCCACATCCGCGCCATGATTGGCACTGCCTACCACCAGCTCCGCAACATTGCCAGACTTCGCCACTGCCTCACCCCTCAGGCTGCCCAAACCCTCACCCACACATTCGTCACTTCGATGCTCGATTATGGAAATTCCCTCCACATCGGCCTTCCCAACTCTTCCCTCCACAAGCTGCAGATTATCCAAAACTCTGCAGCTCGTGTACTCTCATGCAGCAGGCTCCGTGACCCCATCACTCCCACCCTCGCCCGACTCCACTGGCTCCCCATCCCCCAGAGGATCGAGTTCAAGATCTTCGTCCTCACTTTCAAGGCCACCCATGGCCTTACCCCCTCCTCCCTCTCTGACCTGCTGACTCCCTACCAACCTGTTCGCTCCCTCCATTCAGCAGGGTCCGGCCTGCTCCATGTCTCCTGCCCGACCCGCCCTACCATCGGCGGCCGGGCTTTCAGTCTCTCTGCCCCCACACTCTGGAACTCCATCCCACGGTCCTTCGTCTCGCTTCCTCCCTCGCCACCTTCAAGGCCGGCCTCAAGACCCTCCTCTTCGATCGTGCCTTCGGTCGCCCTCCTACCTCTCTGCCTTCCCTCACCCCTACCCACCCCTCCCCCATGCTCAGGTCCTGACCTCTGACTGTTCAGCGCCTTGAGACGATCTCCCGATGTGAAATGAGCTCTATAAATGTAATTTTGTTGTTGTTGTTCTCTCTTTTTCTCTCTCACTCCGATTGAAGCAAGGATGCTGAGGAATGTCATTGACAGCAAATTACATTGAATTTCTTCACACTGAACTCTTTTATAACCTTAACAGCTGATTATTGGGAAATCAGATTAATGTATAATTTATGCATGAACACACACACGAACATGGGCCAGACACATGCCTAACAACTGCATGAGCGAAACCTCCCAGGTTCTATCAAACCACAGCTCACTGTCATTGCCTGTTTTTTCATACCAAAGGGCAGGGTCGATTATTAACAATATGTACGTCTTAAACTTTGTTCTTTGGCCACCTGCACCCGCTGCCCCACCCCCACCCCTTATCCCCAGCCAACGTCAGAAGACACAAACCATAAAGTTTGACTGACGTAAAGATGATTTGGAATAACACTGTGGAACAGTTGCTGAGGGCAAATTACAGAGGGCAAATTGTATAGCGCCCTTCACATGAGGTAGCGTCCTGGAGCGCTTGACAGTGGCACAGTGTGACAACGAGCTAAGGGGCGAGGGAGGGGGAGAGGTGACCGTAAGCACGATCAGAAAAGAAGGTCTTTATGGCGGAATTTTAAGGTGGGGAGGGGACAAGACAGGGATTGAGAGAGAGAGTTGCAGAGTTTTGGGGCATAGTGACTGAAGGCACGGCTACCAGTGGTGGAGCGGTGGGCACGAGGGACAATTAGGAGGCTGCAGCCAACTGAGCTGAGGTATGGGTGGTGGAGTGGGGGGGTAAGCAGGTCGGATAGGTAGGGAGGTGCGAGGTGATGAAGGGATTTGGAAATGAGTGAGAGGATCTTGAAGTCGATCTGTTGGGTGATTGGTAGCCAAGGGAGCCTGGTAGGACTAGTATGACGGGGGTTTCTCTGGCGAACACAACACAGTACAAAGCGAGTGTTTACCGTGAGCACATTCACATTGGTGCACTGAAGGACTGCTGGTATTGATCACTCCTACAGACTATGGACAACGGACTGCCATCGATACACTGTGTGAGGGAATGCCCACTGATTGCAAACATATTGGTCTGTGTGTAATGTGCAAAGGCAGATTAACCTTGATGGGGTGTCGCAACATGCTCTTTTTTAGGGGGGCCCTCAAAATCTGCGGTCTTGGGCTGCAGCCCCTGAAGCTTCTGTGTTAATCCAGCCCTGATAATATGTTCCCCCTATCAACCTCCTTACCCCACGCCTCTGCTCACCTCATTCCCTTTCCCCTCTGCTCGGCTAACCCGCGCAATTCTGGAAATCTAACAATTCTTTAAATAAAATTGTCATTCACTCTGTGGCTGTTTGTAGAATATTGCTGTGCACAAATTAGCAGATTTACTTGCCCACAAAATGCAGTCACACCACTTGTAATAAGACCTATGAAATGCTTTGCGACATCTCAACATTATAAGGCATTATATCAAATGCAATGATTATTATTATTATAGCTGTATAGCGCTCGTCAGGCTACACAAAAGTACGATGTACAGTTGTGGTCACCGTGATATTAAGGGGGTTTCCGGATCCTAGAAGCAGGTGCAGATGAAACTATATTTCTTTCTGAATAATGAGTCAAATCAAGCAATAAAAAATGACTGAATGTCATTGCAAACGATTGAATGATTTGCAGATCTAAGCTCCAGCTAAAGACAGTCGTATTTTAACAAAGCAGCTGATAACTAACAGGATGGAAAATGTTATTTTCCTGTTGATCACGGTCAAAATGATCTTTCTTTTTTTGTGGCAAGTCATTTTGAAATTTCAGCCACGGATATTCATTTAAAAAAATATTTTTGTGTTCCCCTCATATTTGTAATTGAGATTATTGGCTCCGAGTGCCGAATTAGAGCAAAAAAGTAAACTATATATTATCGGACGTCAGCCTGGTTCAATCTCATCTCGTAAATTACAAGGTTGTCAGGCCAAGCCCCACGACGGGGACCTTGAGGTCACAGTCCAGGTTGATGGTCCAATGCAGAGAGAGAGAAAAAGGGGAGAGTGAGCGAGATGCAGAGAGAGAGAGAGAGAGTAAGGGAGACTGAGAAAAAAGAGGAAGAAAGGGAAGAGGAGGAAGGAGAGAAGAGAAAGGTAGAAATAGAAAAGAAAGGAGAAAGGTGACCTTACATCCCCAATTTCTCGGGGCACAATGCTCAGAGGCGGTATTGCGTCCCTGCGGCCACATTTACCCCCACCTTCAGTTCAGCAACAAACTGAGCAAGAACAATGAAATATTCTAAGGGGTCGGATACAGAAATACAGCCATTAATTTTGTTAAGCTTCTCCAGTAACTGCTGGCATCAGTCAATACTTTTGGAGGGGGGGGGTTACAATTCTTTTGGGGACCAGATTTGGGTTACAACATATGGTCACCCTTGAGAAAAAGAGGGGGAGAGAGAAAGGTGGAGAGAGAGAGAGAGAAAGGAGGAGAGAGAGAGAAAGCAGGAGAGAGACACTGGGGAGGGATGCTGAGCAGACAATGGTCGCTGCCCCTCACAAAGATGGCGGGCGGCGCCAGGCTTCCCCCTCCCCGGGCACTAGGCCGCGGTTGCCACTGGTTACGGCGCCCGTTGCCTTGGCGACGGAGGATGGGAGCCAATGAGCGGGCGGCTTGGTGTGCGGTGCGGGCGTCGGGTGGAGAGAGAAGGACATGTCCCGCTCCCGGGCCCAACAGCGGGTGAGTCTGTCTCCTCACACGCCCCAGCACCGCGCACCCCAATCCCCTCACACCCCATCCCCTCACACCTCACACCCCATCCCCTCACACCTCATCCCCTCACACCCCATCCCCTCACACCCCATCCCCTCACACCTCATCCCCTCACACCCCATCCCCTCACACCCCATCCCTCACACCTCATCCCCTCACACCCCATCCCCTCACACCCCATCCCCTCACACCCCATCCCCATCCCCTCACACCCATCCCTCACACCCCATCCCCTCACACCCCATCCCTCACACCCCATCCCCTCACACCCCATCCCCTCACACCCATCCCCATCCCCTCACACCCCATCCCCTCACACCCCATCCCCTCACACCCCATCCCCTCACACCCCATCCCCTCACACCCCATCCTCCCCATCCCCTCACACCCCATCCCCTCATCCCCTCACACCCCATCCTCATCCCCTCACACCCCATTCCCCTCACACCCCATCCTCATCCCCTCACACCCATCCTCATCCCCTCACACCTCATCCCCTCACACCCCATCCTCATCCCCTCACACCCCATCCCCATCCCCTCACACCCCATCCTCATCCCCTCACACCCCATCCCCATCCCCTCACACCCCACCCCCATCCCCTCACACCTCATCCCCTCACACCCCATCCCCATCCCCTCACACACCATCCTCATCCCCTCACACCCCATCCTCATCCCCTCACACCCCATCCCTCACACCCATCCCCTCACACCCCATCCCCTCACACCCCATCCCCTCACACCCCATTCCCCTCACACCCCATCCCCTCACACCCCATCCCCTCACACCCCATCCCCTCACACCCCATCCTCATCCCCTCACACCCCATCCCCTCACACCCCATCCACATCCCCTCACACCCCATTCCCCTCACACCCCATCCCCATCCCCTCACACCCCATCCCCTCACACCCCATCCTCATCCCCTCACACCCCATCCCCATCCCCTCACACCTCATCCCCTCACACCCCATCCTCATCCCCTCCCATTGTGGAGTCCTGAGCTCAGTGGTTAGAGCACTCGCTTTGCAAGCGAGAAACCTGAGTTCAATTCCAGGCAGAGGGCGAAACCTTGGGCAAGTTTCCTTACTCCACACAGAGCCTAATAATAATCCCTCCAAAAAAACAAAAACAATAATAAATTGGTCATTTTCAATCTACGACTGTTTGTGGGACATTGTGAGCGCAATTGGCTGCCGCGTTCGCCCACAAATATACAGTCAATTCACTTTACAGTATATTCTGTGAAGCGCTTTGGGACGTCCTCCCGACATGAAAAGCGCTATATCAAATGCAAGGATTATTATTATTATTATTATCCCTTCATACCCGATCCTCTCACACCCCATCACATCCCCTCACACCACACATCCTCTCACACCCCATCCACAACCCCTCACACCACATCCCTTCACACCCCATCCCCTCACACCCCATCCCCTCACACCCCATCCCCTCACACCCCATCCCTTCACACCCCATCCTCATCCCCTCACAACCCATCCCCTCATACCCCATCCCCTCACACCTTCATCCCCATCCCCTCACACCCCATCCCCATCCCCTCACACCCCATCCCCTCACACCCCATCCCCTCACATCCCATCCTCATCCCCTCACACCCCATTCCCCTCACACCCCATCCCCATCCCCTCACACCTCATCCCCTCACACCCCATCCCCACACCCCATCCCCTCACAACCCATCCCCTCACACCCCATCCCCTCACACCTTCATCCCCTCACACCCCATCCGCTCACAACCCATCCCCATCCCCTCACACCCCATCCCCTCACACCCCATCCCCATCCCCTCACACCCCATCCCCATCCCCCACACCCCATCCCCACATCCCCTCACACCCCATCCCCTCACACCCCATCCCCTCACACCCCATCCCCATCCCCTCACACCCCATCCCCATCCCCTCACACCCCATCCCCATCTCCCCTCACACCCCATCCCCTCACACCCCATCCCCTTGCACCACAACCCCTTACACCCCATCCCCTCACATCCCATCCCCTCACACCCCATCCACATCCCCTCACATCCCATCCACATCCCCTCACACCAAATCCCCTCACACCCCAAATCCTCACACCCCAAATCCTCCCACCCCATCCTCTCACACCCCATCCACATCCCCTCACATCCACATCCCCTCACACCCCATCCACATCCCCTCACATCACATCTCCTCACACCCCATCCACTCACACCCCATCCACATCCCTTCATACCCGATCCTCTCACACCCCATCCACATCCCCTCACACCACACATCCTCTCACACCCCATCCACAACCCTCACACCACATCCCCTCACACCCCATCCACATCCCCTCATACCCCATCCCCTCACACCCCATCCACATCTCCTCACACCACACATCCTCTCACACCCCATCCACAACCCCTCACACCACATCCCCTCACACCCCATCCACATCCCCTCACACCCCATCCCTTCACACCACAACCCCTCACACCACATCCCCTCACACCCCATCCCCATCCCCTCACACCCCATCCCTTCACACCACAACCCCTCACACCACATCCCCTCACACCCCATCCCCTCACACCACAACCACTCACACCATATCCCCTCACACCCCATCCCCTCACACCACAACCCCTCACACCACAACCCCTCACACCCATCCCCTCACACCACAACCCCTCACACCCAACCCCTCATACCACATCCCCTCACACCACATCCCCTCACACCATCCCCTCACTCCACATCCCCTCGTACCACATCCCCTCACACCCTATCCCCTCACACTAGAATCCCTTACCCCCATCCCCTCACCCCCAGCCCCTCACACCCCATCCACATCCCCTCACACCCCATCCCCTCACACCACAACCCCTCACACCTCATCCCGTCACACCCCACCCCTCAACACTACATCCCCTCACATCACACACCCTCAACCCCATCCCTTCACACTCCATCCACTCACACTCCATCCATATCCCCTCACACCCCATCCCCACATATCCAATCCCTCACCCCCATCCCTGCACACTCCATCCCCTCACACCCCATCCCCTCACAAACCATTCCCCCACACCCCCTATCCCATCACCCCCCCCATTTCCTCACCCCCACATTCCCTCACCCCCCCATCCCTTCAACCCTATACCCTCACTCCCCCATCCCTTCACCCCCCTATCCCCTCAAACACCCCCCATCCCCTCACATCCCCTAAAACACACCCCATCTCCTCACACCCCCCCATCCCCTCACACACCCCCATCCCCTCTCACACCCCCGATCCCCTCACACCCCGATTCCCTCACACCTCCCATGCCCTCACACCTCCAACGCCCTCACACCAGACCATTCCATCACCCCCATGCCCTCACTCCCCATGCCCTCACTCCCCATCCCCTCAGCCCCCATCCCCTCAGTCCCCATCCCCTCACACCCCCTCATCCCCTCACACCCCCCATCCCCTCACTTCCCTCCATCCCCTCACACCCTTCCATCCCCTCAAACTCCTATCCCCTCACACACCCTATCCGCTCACCCCATCGCCTCACACCCCATCCTCATCCCCTCACACTCCATCCCCAACCCCAGCACAGTGTGCGCTCAACCCCTCACATCCCATCCCCAGCACAGTGTGAGCTCAGTCCCTCACACCCCATCCCCACCACGGAGTGAGCTCAGCCTGTCATACCCCAGCCCATCCCCAGCACAGCGTGAGCTCAGCTCCTGCACTCACACCCTATCCCCAGACACACCTAACATCTCACGTTACTTTTATGTTTTAGAGGGAAAAATATTTATATTTTTGCTTTTTTTAAGCAAAATATTGAACTTGTATCTTTTTGTGTCGTGTCGAAAGCTTCATTTTGTTTCAGTTAATTTCTATTACTTTTATACTCCTTTTGTGGTAATATCTTTCATGGTATTTATTCCTCTGTGTGTGCATATATATACGCATATATATTATATGTATATTTATATATATTTTATATTGATTGATATGTACAGGTGTTACTATTTATCCAGATTAAACAGCCTGATGGACTTTGCTGAACGTAAAATGGCAGTTCCGTTCCTCACGAAAAAGTAGTCACTACACATGACTATTAGTGTAAAGCACTCTGTGATGTTTTAAGCTTTGTTAAATAATGTAAGCTTGTTATTTTGTCCTCCTTGGTTTCTCACTCAATCTAAAGTAATTGGCATTCAGTTAGCTGGCATCCTGCTTGCCCCAACTGTGCTTCAGATTCTTCGCTCATTCTCCTCCACAACTCCCTCTCCACCACTCTTGATGCCCTTGCCCCCCTCACCTCCTGAACCTCACCCTGGTACACCAGCCACTTCTGCTCCCTCAAGGATCAGGTGCGGGACGCCGAGCCCACGTGGCTCAAATTTGATCTAACAGTCCACTGGCAGTTCTGGCTGGACCACATCAAAACGTTCCGCTCCGCCCTCGCCTTCGCCAAATCGCCCTTCTACTCTAAGATAATCTTGGAGGTGAAGGATAGCCCCAGGCATCAACCTGCTCCTCCATCCACCCTCCCACGCCCATTCTGTCCTCAAACTCTGACTGTGAGGAGAAGCTGCCACTCCTTCCCCATTTCCCCCCCACAGTCTGACCCCTACCCATCCCTCCCTCCACATCTTCGATCCTGTCTGTCTCTCCTCTCTCATCATCACCATATCCAGCATGAAGTACACCACCTGCTCCCTTGACTCCATCCCCACCCCTCTCTTTACCTCCCAACTCCACCTCCTCACCCCTCTACTCTCCGACACCATCAATCTCTCCGTATCACCTGGAACCGTTCCCATCCTCCTAATAACCCTCCTTGGACCCATCCCTGCTTTCTAACTACTGGCCCCTCTCCAACCTTCCCTTTCTTTCCAAGATCCTTGAAAAAGTCATTGCTTCCCAGCTTCGCTCTTTCCTCTCCTACCACTTCCTTACGAGCA